GAAAAAATAGATTTTTCATATGTTTTACTATGTGATCGACAAAAATTACGTAGACTTTTGTCCAGTGAGTGTACATAACCAGCGATAGAATAGTGAAGACTGGTGTGATCTCGACCCAATAAAACCCGAAAGAATCGCGTTCATATTAAAAAGAAAAAGATTGACTCTTCTATCCGAAAACATCATAAAAATAAGCATACCAACTGTGTCCGCATTCCAGAGTAGTGACCTATCTAATCAACTATAACAACTGGGGCGAGTGGAAGGTCTTTGAATCTTTTTTCGATGTGGGCTAAAACCTTTCTAGATAATATTTTCGATGGAGGTGCCTCTATCAATACTTTTTCCGCACCCTTTTCAGTACATATATATACCCACATTATATGTATTAATTTCCCACCCTTGTAGTTATGTCCATGATGAAGTAAAAATCGATACTCATCCATTACAATATCAATCATCTCCTCCTGATCTGCTATTAATTTCCGAAAAAGCTGTTTATCTTCATTCGTAATTGGGAGGCGGATTTCTTCAGGGCTGAATCCTATATACTTGGAAACCTGATCACGTAATTCATAAGACATTTTTTTGTTACTATGATACGTAATAAATATATTTAATTTATTTTGCTATATCACGTTACAATGAGCATCAAGGGAGCGATGTCATGTGTTTTATTTCAAAGAAATGGCTCTTCGAGCCTAAATCTGCGAATCACAGATCAGCATAGAAGTATTTCGGAGAAATGACACAGTCTCGTAGAACATACATAACCGAGCGATAGAAAGATAGTTGGTTTACCTGCGGAGCAGTGCACTCCGTGCTTGATAATGCGCAACGATTATCCGAAAAAATTGATTATGATAGTGAATATCGAGTTGAATTGGTCAGGCCTTCAGATGACATTAATATGTGTCCCGCCTTCTCGTGATTCTCACTCGAAGCCAGATATATACAGATAACTAGACTCGAAGAGTCATGGCTCTGCCATAGAATTGTGTAAACATATATATCTTTTTCCGAGAGACAATGAGGAAAAAGGACACTAGCTCCGCTATTCGAAATTAGTAGTCTATGCTTTCACCGTTACTATTTGGATTGAATGTTGATAAGCCTCCCAGCATTTGAGACGATAGGTTTTCGTATTGACATAATCCCCACTACCCCATTCACCCTTTACATTATATCTTATATTTTCTTTTTTATGATCTTTATTGCATACGGGACATATCTCTGAACAAGTAAAGTAATCACCATATTCATTACTATATTTTAAAGATAAATGAGAAAAACGCTCCAATACCATTTTGATAACGTGTTGTTGTCTTTCTTCCGGGTCTTTAGGTAGAACAGAAAATGGGAATTGTCGTTTAGATGGTGTATATTGAATATTTACCCGCGGTATAACTAAAGTCTTTTCCTCAAAAGATATCTGTGTGAATTGAGCATAGATTTTTTCCCATTCTTCCATAAGATCATCGAGCCATGCAGTACTCAAACCACTTTTTAGTATACCTTGACGTAATAACTCTTCACCAACCAGCCTATCACGATCTGTTAAAAATTTACGATATTTTCTAGGATCTTCTTTTCTTTCTATTGCACCACGATAGAAACGTATATCTCTTTCCAAATCCCCACGAAAACACCCCATGGCCCACCTATTTTTCTCAGCCTCTGTAATGATTGAAAATTCTTTGGGATTTATTCCATGTTCGATGGCATACTGATAAAGGCGATTTTTGTTTGGCGCCGTTACCTGAGTTTCCAACGAACTGCCTTGTATGATATGATTATCAGCATTTTCGCTTTGTGGGGATTCAGAAATTTCAGACTTTATCCAAGGATCGAGTCCAGTCTCTTCCGTGTATGCTCTATATAATCTAGAACGAATTTTTTCTGTCTGAAAACTTGGTAAATCAACTAAATTAGCATGCCATTTGCAATAGTCATCAGTTAATATCTTGCTGGGGGTAGTATCAGAAGACATGTTATCGTTTATATTAATGCAAGTCAATTCAAAATCACGTAGCTGTCAAGAAAAAAAATATCGCTATCCACTTGACCAGGTTTATGTAATTATTTACTTACGCAGTTATTTCGATTTCTTGTTGTCCACATTTAATAAAATAAGATCCAGCTTCATATCTACCTTTTATACTTTTTCCTTCCTCATGACTTTGTTTGCATACTGGGCATAATGACGCCTCATGAATTCCATAATAATCAAATTTTTCACTACTAAATTCTTTATATAGATCAGAATATCCCCACATTATCCTATTACGAAAATAAGCACGGTCATGGGTTAGATTATTCCGTTTTTCAAATAAAATCTTTTTGAGCTGAGATGTAGATAGTATACTTGCCTCAGCCTTCGGCAAATCGCCTGAACCTGGGGAATTAGAGATATCAGTTGGAGAAATAGGTGATACATTAATCTGATCGTGACATTTTGTCACGGTTTTTGAAGTCACCTCATTTATGATATGCTGAATTTGAGTATTTTTTAATCCCGAAATAGTACTTGCACTATATGTAACGAGTTTGATCTTATCTGTACCTACTCCTCCTTCCCCAAATAGCTTAAGAATTTTTCTCGCTCTTTCAGTTTTCTTACGCAAATTTGCATCTGTAATATTAGGTAGAAAAGGTTTCATTTCCTTATATATTTTTGATCTTGCTGTTTTATCTTTAATCTCGCCATCTGCTGTAAGACTTTTAACCTTATTTTCGAATTCTATAGAATAATAATACCAACATAAAATTTGTTTCTGACCTGATTTAATTGCTTTATCAAATAAGTCTGATAAATTTTGTACAGAGCCTGGAACTATATCCTGTATGCCACTAATATTTACCTCACCATTGTTTCCGTTAATTGAAGATAAAGGATTGATTTCAGAGACAATGCTCTGTTCGTGGTCATAGGTTATCTCTTGTATCAAACCTTCTACAATTTGATTATCTGATTCGAGTATTTCGGAAGTGGTACCAGAACTGTCTAGGGTATTATTTTGATCGCGACATTTTGTCACGGTTTTTGATTCACATGATGTAGATGTCACTGTCTTTTTAGATTCCGCTGAAGTATGAAGAAACGGTTTGATTAACTAAAGATAAGTCTGAATTTTGATCCCGACGTTTCTTCTCCCTAATGCTCTGAATTATCTCTTTACTAACCTGTTCCCTATATGTTGAATCCAGAAATTTATTTTCTTCTTTCTCTTCCAATGATATAGCTTCAGCGGGAATAGGAGATGTGGGGATTACTGAATCCTCGTATATATCAGAATTGCCAGAGGCAGTCACTTCGTGGTTAGATCTGTTAGACTTCTCATTATGTGAGACTATCTGTCCAGAAGCATCATCAGAATTTATTTCGGGAATGGGTACTTGTATATTTACCGGATTCTGCAAAATATTAGTGTTCTTGTCTTGCAAGTTCTCTTCCTTGATTAGTGAAACGTCATATTCCAGTTTTGTGAATCTGGTTTCATGTTCTCCCAAAGTTTGTTTTAATTCCATATTTTCAGCTTTGATTCTGGTATTCTCAATTTCAACTTCAGCAATTTTTTTTCTAAGTTCAGGAATCTCGGCATTCTCCCGTCTAAGTTTATCATTCTCGGCTACAAGCTTGGAAATCTGTTCTTTTAATGATTCGATTTTAGATTGTGTATTTGCCATTTTTATATAAATACGGATATGTTTAATTACATTAGCGAATAAAAATCAAGAGTGCGTTCCGAAAAAGAACGCCGATCACTTTCGCCAAGAAAAAATAATTACGATTGATATGTTTATGCCTATTCTGGAAGAATGAACTCCGTTCTGGCATGAGCTTCGCTCTACAGTATATGCGAATCACAGGGAGCGATGTCATGTGTTTTATTTCAAAGAAATGACTCTTCGAGCCTAAATCCGCGAATCAGAGATCAGCGTAGAAGTTCGTGAAACTATTTTCGGGGCGCATTTTCAGATTTAATCGTCACAACGAGTTGAGAATTCAATTCTTGCAATGAATCGATTTTTGATTGAGTGTCTGTACAAGATGCGGATATGTTCAAAAGTTTATTAAAAATCACATGACTCTGAGAGTGCCGAGAAAAATTCTCGAACTATGATTTATTCTTTCGCCTCGAATATACAGATGTCTAAAAAATATCGCCTCACGATGACAAGCCCGACCCTGAGAAATAATTACAATTTGATATGAAAATTATCATTTTAACGCAAATGAGAAATACAAATTCCTTATTAGAATGAAATAAAGCACGCTTCTGAGCACGACCATATTAATTCTCCTCATCATTAGACTCTTCTAACTCCTCCGACTCCTCTGAAAGTGTTTCACGAATTTTGGCCAATGCCGTCAACACTACTCGCCTTCCTTCTGGCTCAGCAAGGTCAAAACCAGACCTCAAACCATTATCAGCAGGCCATCTTTGAACCTTAACTGACTGTTGTTGCGGTAGGCCTTTTTCAAGCTCCACCAAATACATTGCAGGAATCTCGGCTTTATAAAACGTAACGTATGAAGAAATTACACGAATAACCCAGAATGTCTGATCTGTGTATTGCCGTTTGCCAAGGGAACGTATATTCTCACTAACACAAGCGAGAATCTCCATAGCAATCTGTGTTTCCCCAAATCCAGTGCTTGGCCCGACATTCTTCAAGTGCTTGTCCTGTTAAAAAGCTGTTTGAGTCGACAAAAATCATAAACCATCAAAGGTCAATAACATACCTCTACCACAAGAATAGCAAAGTCTTCCATATTTTCGTCTTCCTTATTTATTACAAATTCGGGGTCTGATGACACGTAAGGATCATCTTCAATGTATAATTTGCATGGAGGGTGATTGCTGGATTTTGAAAATGTAACTTGAGGAACATTATATTTATTTATCACAAACAGAAGTTACTCACTTGACGCTAAAGGGCCAGTCATTCAGCTGAGCAATACGAAGAAGATCGTCCACAAGTGTATCTGTATAAGTTTCGCTGGTACCTGTTTTCCGATCACTATTCACGACGACCTTATGCAATTTCTTAAAGAACGTTCGAACTTTCCTATCCGTAAGTCCATCAACATTTGCAACGCGAAATCTGATATTTGAAAGCATTTCGGCATTAATATCAGGTCGAACATACGCTTCTGGAATGGTGACTGGAAAATATTAAATTATCAGCATTAGGTTGGTGAAAGGACTGCTGACACATTGTGGTAGCTTGTACCTTCAGCGTCGGGTATAACAGCGTCCTCGGCTCCAAAGAAGTTCACTCTTAGTGCCTCCACATCTCGTGCTTTGGAAACAGATGCGGAAGAAGGGAGGTCGTCTAAGCCATAACTGTCACTGAGCCAGAGATTTCTAGTGGCTCCCGCAAGCTCTGAGTCTTCCCTGGCAATGCGTTTGGGTTGGTGACGGGTGGGAGAAGAGCTCGTACTTTCGGCTTCAACGGTTTTTCGTTTTTTTGAGGGTTTTTGTGCAGTTTTTCTTGGTTGTTTTCGTTTCTGGTTTGAAGACATAGTAACACAGGATAACAAAAAAGTTGTGAGAAGAAAATTTTTTCACAAAGACACGCATCACGAGGTAGTTGGAATTTGGACATTCTAATTTATTCTGTGATATATGTTGATCGAACATCTGTCGATTTTTCAGGCATGTGATTTTATTTCGGAAATTTGGTCATAGTAACCAATCAGGGGTGCGATTACATCATGCATGGAGATGTTCCACGACCTTCGATTTTATTCTGTGGTATAGTATTAGTATGTGATATTTTGGTTTTTTACTAGACATACCATTTTCATCATATTCGGGTAGGTTCGAAGAAGCATTGCTCTGCAATAAATTTTCAACCGAAATCTAAATGTATTAACATCCTGCTTCACAGACCCCCCCCCCCCTCCTCATTTACAGATTCCATATAAGAGGGTGGCTGACTACCTCCAACATCGAACATACTAATATCACTGTCATTTCGTGAGGTAATATTTGCCGGAGATAGGTATGTAGTATTGTCTAAATTTTCACCTACATCACTTGTGTTACGGCCTGAATTCCCACTCACATTATTTACATTGTTTCCATTATCTTGATTATTACTGGTGGTGACTGTTTCGCTGATATTCTCATTCCTTTCACTAGTCACTTTTTGGATGGGTGATGCGGATCGATTCCTTTGATTAGTGGTGGAATCACGGCGACTCGTTCTTAGAATTGTTGACACTTCATAAGTTGGTGGTGGGGTACGGTTACGGCGACGTCTTCTAGTGGATGTATTTGTATTATGCAATATGTCGAATGGGGTTTCTATATTTCATATACGAGGCAAATTCATGAGTTATCAATATATTTGATACTACGGTGATAGATTGTATCATAGGTGATCTTACCAGGTCTCTCCCAAAAATGAGAATTAAATTCTTCAAAATATCGTTCACCTGCTCTGCTCCTCTTTCCGGTTTTACTCCCAGCTATATACTGGCACATCGACTAAAAAAGTTTCAGCGAAGTAAGCACAGCCAATATAAAAGTACATTAGAAATGTTATAGATAAAATAGTATATAGAATTTAACGCTTACGTTGTAATCTCTAACAAGATTCTGAAATCTATTATTACATTGTTGTCCTGTATAGGTGGTCCTAAATCGTGTTTTGATTGTATTTGCTATGCTATTCCAAAAGTTTACCCTGCTACTGCCGGGAATGTTATGGTACTCGGTATTTTTTGTTTTCCTTTCATCGCGTAAATGATCATCGGTCCACATTATAAAAAATTTAATTTCAACGGATGTTCAACTGAGATATGATATTTCCATACGTTTTTTATAAGAAAAAAAATCATCATACCTTCAACGTACCTTCATCGTGTCTTCATCGTGCCTTCATCGTGCCTTCATCGTGCCTATATTATATCTTAATTATGAGTTAGCAGATATACATAGTCTGAGCATGACGAATTTGTCATGGTTTCCGCTATTTCATTAATATAATAACACATCTCGGATTTGTTTATCTCGGACCGGACGAGTCAAATGGTGGGTGTCGTACATTCCTATACATGTAGCTGGGAAATTAAATCATATGCTTGTAATACATCCGAAATAGATTTTTGTGTCAGATATGGAACTTCTACGACAATATTTTACCAAAAACATCGATGCGATGTGCAATAAAAAAATTTCGCTTTATTGTAACATATATAGGCACACAGATGCCGGATACATCGGTATAAATGCATCGTTTATAAATGTCTATTATCTGCGAAGCAAGGAATTCTGTATCTAATAGGCATAGATTGAACGGTTCGATTTTGTATAAGTTTCGCCGGTATTTAAATCATAATAATAACCTTCATCATCGTCATCAGAGAAACCACAGAAGCTCTCATTATCATTATCGTCTTCGTTGTTATCGTCAGAGAATTCATCATCATTCCCATTATCCTCATCGAAAACATTTACAGATTCTGACTCCTTTGAAATCGATTCAGTAGATATACTTACCTTGGTCTTGGTTTCCGGTAAAGATTTAGAGGCAGTAGCATCCTCACTTCGTAATACTTCCTCAATCATCTTATTTTCTGAATTGCTGGAGGGAGTGATTATATTACTTGTCTCTATTTCAGATGAGATTTTTCTGGGACCGCCGGTCTCGGAAATTTCAGTATTTTCGGACGAAAATTGATATTCTGTATTATCTGTATCAACGTTCTGACAAGAATAATTTATAATCTCTTGAATTTGATCATTAGTAAGCTTTGAAATGGAATTCGCACTATATGATTTGATGTATTTGATTTTATCATGACCTATTTTTTCGAATAATATATAAATTTTCTCAGCTCTCTGAGTTTTTTTACGCAAGGCATCCCGTGATATTTCTGGAAGATGTAAACCCAATTCTTGAGATCTTTTTTTACGGATAATAGAAAGCTGTTTTACAACGGAATCATACAGTAAGCTTCTTGCCTTCTTTTCACTAATTTTACCTCCGCTACTCACTATAATCTCATTATATTGAAGTCTAAAATCCTTTGCATAAAGAAACCAATATAAAATTTCTTCTTGATTAGCTCGATTTGCTTTATCTTCAGCATCGAATGCTTTATTACATAATTGAGCTAGATGTTGCCATGTTTCGTCAACGTTAGATTCTCCGGAAGTGCTGGTCTCTGAAATTTCACTCACATGGTTTTGAATTATTTGCGATTCTTGTAGAGACGGCTCTAGAGTAAATAATTCTTGGATCAACCCCTGTCCACCCTTTACACTCAAAGAAGATTTAATATCCTGGGAAGTTATGATTTTTTCTTGACCCCGAAGTTTCTTCTCCCTAATGCTCTGAATTATCTCTTTACTAACCTGTTCCCTATACGTTGAATCCAGAAATTCATTTTCTTCTTTCTCTTCCAATGATATAGTTTCCGCGGAAATAGGAGATGTGGAGATCTCTAATTCCTGTTGTATATCAGAATTGCTGGAAGCAGATACTATTTCGAGAGAAATGACACTTTGCGTCTCGTGGTTAGATATAATAGATTCCCCGTTCTGTGTGACAATTTGTTCATGAACATCGTTAGAATTTGATGTGTTAACAGATATATTGGATGCAAGAGCATCATCAGTTATATCAGATATAGGAGTATCATTAGAAATTTCCATTTTGGAAGAGTTGATATTAATCGAAGATTGTGAAACAATTCAAATGAAAAAAAATTTGCGAGACCAGCGGTCCCGGAAAATTAGCAAATGTAGATCCACACACCCGAAATAGATTCACATGTTAAAAATAGATCATCATATATCCACAGTATACTATCGCCACAAATAAATTCTTTAGAATCAACTCTAAACTATAATTCTTGCTATAACTCAATATGGATCTCGGATCTATCCCATCCTCATCGTATACATCATTCGCAAAATATGACAAATATACACAACTCATAACTCAGGCCCTATGGGACGCTCTTCGAGTATCCGCACTAAAAATGAACCATACATTCTTATACTATTGAGAACCAAATATAATAAGTCTAATCCCTAAATACGATAATTATGTCAGGTCTTACTATTACAACTATTATCGATAAAAAAGCTAAATCAGTGAAGCTCATTAATAATCGTCCTGGATATGATATGAAATATGTAACGTCGTATATCTACAATTATTGTGGAATTAGTGATTATCAACGATACTTTGATGATCTTTATGAGACTGAAAGACGATATGATACTTTATCTGTTATTCGACCCAATGAAACTCCACAACAATGGGCTATTCGGGTCAGAGTTCCTTTACAAGAGCTAGTCTCTGAAAAGAAAAGAAGCGTATATCCCGTACATTGTTTATTTGGTGGATTCGGAAATTCTAAGCTAATTAATTATGATTACTACAGACCTAGAATCCATAAAT